AACTAATAACACTGGATCACAAATTTTAATTTTGTTTTTGTTCTCCAAACGCCACTATCCAGTTTGTATGTTGAATCGCTCGCCGATTGCAAAAATTGAGTCAATATTTTTCTTTATGGATACATTTCCGAAATATTTGCAATTTAACGTTACTCAGCTTAAAAGAAAAGAGTGGATCCACTTAATCGCGTATATCTAATGAACCAATTCAATAATCGTAATACGTGATAAGGCAAATGAAAGCAAATGAAATTCTCCATAAACCATATATACATCACTTTTCGATAGCCCTGATATATTCTGAGTCATAATTCCTCATTAAAAATTAAGTGTTCTGCGTAAACGCCATGCACTTGTGTTGAGGCTTGTTCCTTTAAAAAAAAATTAAGCTAGCAACGAAGAAAATAGATAGATGAATAAGAAAATAATGATTGTTCAAATGAAAATTACGCAAGGATTTTTTGTATGAAATTTGAGCAGAAAAGAGTGTTACTCATACGCCACATACACCTAAGTAAGTAGAGAGTTTGCATTGCAAGCAAGACGTGTCAAAAATGATTAATTAATTTTTCAGAAACTATCAAGGCTAGCGAAAAGTGATGTATTATGATTATACAATTGGTTCGTAAGATATACTAAGTGAAACCACTATTTTTATTAGCTGAATAACTGTAAATTGCAAATATTTCGAAAAGTTATCCATGGAAAAAAATTATCTCGATTTTCGGAATCACTGAGCAATTCTGTATAGGAATTGGATAGCGGCATCCATAGAACATTTTTGTTGAAAAACAGTGTAAGTTATTATGTACAAAAACATATTCTTATTTACTTATGCCAAATGGCCAAATGCACATACATATATATGTGTGTGTATAAACACAAGTACATTGGCGCGTACTCAAAGAAAGAAAGAAAGAGTGTATTTCATCGACTACTTTTACAAGGCAATGTTCTAGGCCGTGATGACCATGGTGACCATCGGCTCTCTCTGCACTACCGGAAGTTACTAAAGTAGTCACATGCGTGATTTATGGGCGCCCTCCATGTGCACGGGTTAATAGAGTAGCTATTTTCCTAGGAGTCGGTGCAGTAGCAGTTCAAGAGTAGCGATTGACTCCAGCAGTACTGGAGGGTCTTGATACACCGCAACAGTATTAGGGCAGGTAGTGAAGACAATAGTCAACCGTAGTGTTTCGTCATTGGCGTTGCATTAGGGTTTTAAGAGAAATGGAAAAAATTAATTAGTTTAGAATATTAAGAACAATGAAAAACGATTTTCTCGGAAAATTTACGTGATGGAATTTTTGCATTATTATTTTTTTATACCCAAATTGCTAATTTGTTTTTTAAGGGAGAAATCAGCGTAGGCCTGTATATTTGCAGGAAACGCATTACATTAAATGTTCAGGTAATCGCTATAAGGCTCCCACATTACCTCCGGCCCTTGAGATCCGCACATATTACATATTAGGGATGTTGCGAATGTGAAATTTTAGACATCCGCGCATGCGAATGCGGATGCGGATATTTAAACGCTAACATCCGCGGATGCGGATGCGAATGCGGATGGCATGTATTTTTAAGAAATAATTTAGGTGGATAAATTAGGTGATTTAGGGAAACAAAAAATGGAAAGGTTAATAATTTTTAATAACGAGCGTTATCCTGAGTTTTACCCGAAAAAAAATTCATCCGAAAATTTCTATTCCGCCCATAGTAAATCTGCCTTAACCTGAGTTTCGCCTGAAAAAAAATTCACCCGAAAATTTGTCATCCGCCCATAGTAAAACCATGGAAACCAAAAGTGAAAAGTGAACGGGTTCGGGGAAAATTAAACTCATGATAAGTCTGAATGTTTTTTTTAGTACTTGAATTTAAAAATTGGAACATTGTACTTAATAAAAACTTTTTGAAGGGTCGCAAATCAAACCTGCGCGACTATATAATAACTCGCTTGAGGCGACAAAAACTTGAAAAACTTGAAACTTGGCAAAATTATAAATTCTTTTCGATAGATACTGCACCAGTTGAGAGGACTTTCAGTTATATTTGTTTTTTTTTTTTTTTTGCGTTGCAATAATTACTTTTCGAGAATTTCATCGGGGCTGCAAATGTCGGATGTATCCTCCTGACTTTCATCTTCACAATCTAGCAGCATGGCACAATCGTTGTTTAAATACCGTTTGTTTAGAAAGAATTCTTCATTCTCATTCTTTTGGTTGTATCGGAATTTCTCACGTCATCAGCGTTTTTCGATTTTAGTTTTTGTAACTCATTTTTATTTATTCCGAAATAAACGCCCTATGCGGATAATAAAGAAACCGCTTATCCAAATTAAACAAATTTGGTATCATATGAAAGAGGACTGAAATAGCTTTTAAACAGAAATAACGAATGAAGGTTACCACCTCTAGTTATATCATTTTATAAATTAATAATAAATAAATTCATGTAAATACATACCTGACCCAATGTTTGTTCTATGGTAATTAGTTAAAACTTTTTATTGAAATATTTTTCAATGTGTGGCTTTGCTCTTATAGATATTTCAGTTTTAAAGCTATTTAGGTTCTCTTTCATTGGATATCAAACTTGTTTAATTTGGATAAGCGGTTTGTTTATTATCCGGAAAGTACTTTTATTTCGGAATAAAAAATATTTGGCCAAGTTTAACTCGTAAAAAATAACTGTGATTTTCGGTCCCTTCAATATTCGCATTCGCAAAAGATCCGCATTGTTTTTTGCGAATGCGAATGCTAAAATTAATGCGGAAGCATGAACAACCCTGTTACATATTAATCCGGCGCTGGGTGTCGGGCAGTAGTTAAGAGCAAGCTAAGAAAACCCAGCCCAAAAAATATGGATCTAGGATTTCGGCTTAAAATGGAACAGGATCCCAAAGCAGTTCAATGACAGCACTGTCGAAAGGTTGATAAATTACATGCGGAAGACTGTGTGGCAGGAGATCTCGAAACTTTTTCCCATAAATAATGAATGAATAATAGAATATGTGTGATACCTGCAAATACATATGTATGTATGATGTTACAGCAAATTAAAAAATCCGACTAATATTATAAATGTGAAAGTTTGTGAACGTGTATGCTTTTTGCTTTTTCGCGCTAGAACGGCTGGGCGTATTACAGTGAAGATCGGCACAGTTATAGGCTATGACCTGGATTAACACATAGGATATTTTTTTGAAGATGGTGGCTGCTTTTAAAAAAATTAAAATTAACTATTTATTAAGTAAGATAAAGTATTACAACAATGCGGGTCTCAAGCAATTTAATTAAAAATTTAAATCAAATATTTTGGTATGGGTACGAATTGAGACAGGTTTAAGACAAATTTATTTCTAAATATTTTTTAAATTCAAAATCAATTTACTCTAAAGGTTGAACGAAGTGTTTTAATATGACTATCAAACGAGAGAGGGTTAAGAAAGCTTTCTTACGAAAATATTTTGGAATGGAGTTGCCACCCGTTTAGAAATTTAAAATAATTTTAATGAACAAGTAGTAAACTTTTAGGACTTTCCCCCTTGCACACAGCTTTCAAGGGACAGCACATGCAACTAATTGAGGATAAAGTTTTCTCAATGGTGGAAAAAGGGATGTGTGGTTTCGGCATGCCCACTTGGCAACGAACGGGAGAACAGCCAACGGCTCAAGTCACCAAAACAGAACCTAAACCATTACCCGAGTAAAGGCATAATATATTGAAACGCGTGTGACCGGAGAAGGGGCCTTTATTTCTTGGACGCACAGGGGGAGCTGGCAAGAAATGTCGGCTACAATTTGCTACTGGCACAGTTGCGCAAGGATAAAAATGTTGCACTGGCGGTTACCTCCACAGCGATAGCAACTACCTTGCTCAGCGGAGGAAGAACTTGCAACTTTAGCGAAAACAACAATACAATTAATTAAAAATTTGGACGAATGTACGATGCTACACAAGCATGCGTGCACTCGATCGAAGCTTCCAAAATATCCGCGGCAGCTGTTTGCTGATGGGATGACTAGTCGTATTGCACTGCGGCAGACAAGATAAGTGCGTGCATCAAGGCTTTGCCATTGTGGTCAAAGGTGGTATTGAACCGCACAACTAACATGAGAATCCAGTTGTACAATGATCCGCGACCGGTAAGGGCCGCAAGGCAATGAATGCCGGCCATGAATAAAGGCTATTAACCGTTTAACCATAATTTTTTGATATTGAGCATTAAAGGGCAGTGTTTAAGCTTTCATATCCTCCCACACAGACAAATACATATATTGCATCAATTTATTGTTTTTCAGAGGCTCGAAAGTGTTCAACAACGCGGTATTCAGCACCTTTACGCTTAAGTCGCTCGAAAACTAGAGCCAATATAATATCTTTAGGGTCATATTCGGATTCTACGGGAAACATGCTATAAGAATCGGCTGTAATATTTTAGTCAATATAACATTGTTTAAATTTTGTTGGCCTGTGTAATCAATGCCACAAAACTTTCTATTGTACGCCTTTCAATTCTTAGCGTAGCATTTATTTTTGGTGGAAACAAAGTTCTCAAAAACAGCTTTTTTTATAACGCTGATTGCTTTAATTGCAAGAATTTGATAACACAAGCACGGTAGAAGCAATTAATTCCTTGCATTCCTTATTGAAACATAATAACTAGGTATTGTTCACCTGCTTTTGAAAACTTGGCGCTGTAAAGGATGTAACTATGGACTTTATTCATAATACGTACATTCGTACAATTAAGTAATTTGTAAGTACATATGTACATACATACATACGTGCACTCCAAATTCCGATAGGCAAGAGGATATCAAATGCACGTGTATGAAGCTTCACTGCGTCTGCGTGAAAGCACAAACGGTTTAGCGAGCTTTTGATTTAAGACAACTGTTGATTTTATCGTAAATGTAAACGAGTTGTTCTCCATTTCGTATAAAAGGCGAGTCATTGCTGATAAGATGACAGTAACAGTGCAAAAGCGTGCGGTATTTTGGCGAATGCGAAAGAACTTTTATACAAGAAGCATCGAAGAAAGTGACTGTTAAACTAAAATAGTTACTTGAATTTGAATTGTTGCTAGTTAAATAAAATAAAATAAATATCAACTAATTAACGCTTAAATAAGCTCGTCCACCCGTTCCGTCTTTGATCGCTGCGTTGTTACTATGATTTACTATATTTGCTTTAATATGTCTGTGCAATTTCTGCTGTTGGTTCTTTTAATTTGCTCAGTCAATTCACAAAATGACACAGAATATGCTAGCAATGACTCCGCAGCCGGCACTGACAGTAAATGCGGTGACACCAAACGCATGGTTGACGAGTGTTTTAAGGATTTGCCGCCACATCTGATGGAATTTTTACAAACCACAAAGATTGCCATCAACGAACGCGACATCACATCCAAGTGCACGTAAGTGAAAGTAGACGTTTTAAACACATACATTTGTATGTAAATATGTCAATGTGCTTTCTGTTGGAAGTTGTACCATTTGTTTATTTTTGGGCGCCGCGCCGTAACTTTTGCACATTTCTGTGGCTTTGCGGCAAATCAAGCGTCTAGCGTTTAATGGTTTTTGCTACAAGTATTTACCGACGAGTACCGTTAGTGTATGTACGTGGCTTTAAATGCGTGAGAACATGGGTAATGGCATAAAGTAATCGACATTTGATGGGAGCTCAAAGTGTAACGAAAAATACAATGAAATTGGGGAGATATATGACAGGCGTTTCGCAACAATAAATGCTCCTCAAAAATTAAGTGAGGGAATAAAATTTATACATACCATATTTGCAATGGGCTGTCTTAAATGACAGTCAGAGCCGTCTTTAATACCAGAAAAAAATCAAATATAATTGATTATGTGCTTAACTTTCTTTCCTCTGCCGATAACTGTGATTTTTTGGAGATTGTTGTTGAAACCAGAAGAAGTGAGAATAATTAACTGATGGAATAAAGCCGCATGCGACGTGAAATTTTACACACAATAAAATCAATATATTCGCAAAACCATGGTTCAAATATAATAAAACTGCGGTTTTAGTTTTTTCTCTGACGTCAGGATTTGGTTTAAGGACTGTTGAATTTGAAAAATATGATTACTTCGAAAAACTATTTAAAAAATTTAGTGAAGTGTAGGAATCAAATTAAAGAGAAAACTCTGCGATTAAATCATTCTTAAAAACCTTGAAAAACCTTGAAATTTTGCAATACTTATTTTTGAAAAAAATATATGTTAAGCACTAATATTCACTCGACCTTTTCCGCGATTTTTTTCCATCTAAGTTTATAAGCCTAAAAAAGTTAAATTAATTAAAATTACATTTTTGATCACTACTTGTCCTTGTGAACCAAACAATTTAGTTTTTTTTTTATTTATAGTATTTTATCTTTCATGCCTATATTGTAATTCTACAATGCACTGAATTTTTTAAATAACACAGTGATACAAAAGTAAACAAATAAATATGCAGTGGTTCTCATATTGAAATTATGTAGGACATGACTTTACTTACAGTTTTTCTCCATAACTTCGGTTGTTAGTTTTTCTAACAAATATAATAAAACTTTGTTATTCTTCAAGTTACAAGTTCAAGAAGTTATAACTTTACCTTTTTTCGGTCGAATTTTTGTTTCTGTTTGGAAGGCGTGGGTTTTACCTTTCTAACTAAGAAAAAAGTTTGAAAATCGGCTAAAGAAAAACGTAAATTTTTCAAAAAACTTTCATTTTTTCCCGCTCCTATTTGATTATTTTATTATTATTTTTTTATCTTTATAAAAAGGTACATAAAATCAGTTATCCAAAAGTCAATTAAGTCATAAGTCAATTAAAGTCGATTAAAAAATGGCTTATTAATGCTTTATTTAGTGATAATAAGTTTTTATGTTCTTTTCCTTTTTTCCTAGAAACGTTTGTTTTTTATTTACGTCGCTGCTAGTATCTAGTTTATGAGACCAAAATTAGTTAGAGAGCATACTATGTTTGCTTTTTCCAACATGCCGCTGTTCAATCTATAGAATTTCCTGGTGAAATCGTGCACCTTGGTCATCGCTCATGTGGCCTAAATTTGATGGAAACATATGCAGATGGTGCAATTTAATGGAGATATTGCAACCCATGGCATGGTGGCAGACAGTACGTCACTTACTATGCCTTCATAATGTTCACTCTTCTTGTTTTCAAGAAAATTTTCACACACAGAAGAAACACCTTCTTTACTTTTTTTTCTAAAGGCAAACGATATTTGAATGTTGGAGCATTTTTGTCAAGTATTTTCACAAATTATGTACTTTATTAAACCCAGTTTAATATGCAGAGGTGGTAAAATAATATCCAATAGATTAACTAGAAGAATATTTATGCTATTCTTTTCACGAACGTACGCGGAACGAAATCTTTTTGAACGTAGTGCAGTCTAGTTGCTCGACTGTCTCATTCACAAAAATAGAATGGATGTTTTGTGTTACCACCCAGCATGCCATTCAAAATTGTTAGTACTGAGTATTGAAATCTGCTACAATTAGCCACTTGCGAATATTGTAATCTATGACATTTAATATTTCAACCATAAGATTCTTTGACATCAGTAGCGTAAGCCAATGGGACTGATGGAAACAATCCACTGTTGTGCAAAATGCAGAGTACAATCGATTTGTTATTATTATTATTATTCTTATTATTATTATTATTATTATTATTATTATTATTAAATAAGAACCAGTAGTACAATAAGAATTTTCTTCTTTTTTTAGCACAACAAAGTTCCTTAGCACTGCCTTAAAACCTTAAAGATAAAATATTAGAATATGCAATAATTTAATAAACGCACCTACCCTGTTGCAAAGAGAGCATTCCGATGGCCCTAGGAAGAGTTTTATAAGATCAAGTAAATAAATTAACAATTATAGAAAGGGAGTCATAGGTACTAAAATGAATAAAAAACAAACAAAACGAAAACATTTCTAGGAAAAAATACGCAGATATACTAATTATAACTAAATATGGCTTTACTAAGCCATTTTTTATTCGACTTTAATTGAATTATAACTTTTGGAAAACTGATTTTATGTACCTTTATATAAACAACAAAAAATTTTTTTTTATTGCCCCACGATCAAATAAGAGCGGGAAGATAAGAAAGTTTTTTGAAATATTTACATTTTGTTTCAATTAAAAGACCAATACTAAGCAACTCTCCATCCGATTTTCAAAGTTCTTTCTTTGTTAGAATGGTAAAGCCCATGTCTTTCAATAGATAAACTTGTTAAAGTTATAACTTCTGAATTATTGGAATTAGTCATATTTTTGAAACTGCAAAGTTCTTTAAAAAATCCTGACATCATAGAGGAAAATTAAAAATATCGTTTTACTATTGGAGCGTACTCGTATTCAAAGTTGTTAAAAGTTTTGGAAAACTTTCACAAATTTTTTCGTTCTCGTGCCCAAAAAGCTTGCAAAGTAGGAGACATTTCGAACAAAAAATGTGATAGGGAGCTGGAAAATTTATACTGGAAACATTTTTACTTGCGAAAACTTGCAGGCAAGAATATCATCTGACCACAAACATATGTTCGTGAATAAACAAAAACAAATATGGCCTTCTTGAGTTAAAGTTATTGTTTATTATAACGCTATGGCACTCACATATTGACCACATTTGACCAGTTATCTTAATATTTTTTATTATTTGTTTATAAAAATATAGTTTATTGTTTTAAGAAAACCATATAAATCCATGTTTCAATCTTTGTGCAACTTTTGAAAAAATCAATGTTTCGTGAAAATTTCGTTCTCTTTAATTATGAATAATTGTCGATAACATCAAAATTTCTTGTTTGTAAGTGTAAATTTCGGAGAAAAATGTCAAAATGGTTTTGTCTATAAATATTAAAATGTTTTCATGACCCAACTTTTTCGTTGATGTTTAATTAACATATTGTCCATGCTTTAGCTAAAACAGCTTTAATAAAAGTTTTAAACCAAAGAAAATCTTAGAAAAATTCTTCAAACTTTCATAAAATTTTAAAATTTTTTGACATCAATTTTTGAAACACTCTGAGTATGCAGTTTAAGAACCCATTTTAGGATAATAAGGAGCAAGTTTGAATACTTTGATTTTTATTTTACTATTTTTTTTTGCTTTTGGAAGACATAGTGCAATTTTTTTTGTACATAATTTTGCGTATTTTGTTCCATATAATATGTACATACATATGTATTTAATTGAAAAAACCGAAACAGACTATCAGCAAGCAAACATTTAAAAAAAGTTAATAGTGACAAAAAAAAACATTTTTAAGGCAATATATCTAATTAAATATGATCGAAATCGGGCCATAAATATTGGTTTACCAAATATCTCGACTCCTCCGCCATCTATAGAAAAAATTTTCTATGGAGTTATTCCTTTTAATCTGGTTATTATACGTTTTAAATGGATATGGATTACGTATTCGGGGTTTTAAAATATCTCGACTGCTGCGCCACCTATCGGATTAACTCATCTTTCGTATTACATTGTCATTGGGTTCGGAGGCAACTGTAAAGTTTCAAGTCTCTAGGTCGGCGGAAAGTAGGTTTAAATCTGACTGCAAGGTTGACCCTAACAAACAAACATCCATACATACATACAGTACAAGTTAAACAAAAGCTTGAAATAAAAATCACAAATTTTTTAGAATTTTCAAGAACGCCCTATTTAAAAAACTTGTTGAAAAACGCCCTATCTCGGCTGCCGAGAAAACGCCCTATATTAGCACATTTAAAATATATTTTCAGTTGAAATAGTTCGTTTTTGAACCGAATTCTGAGCTAGGGTATTCTTCAACTAAATTCTTAGATAGGGTGTTTTTCAATCAAATTCTGAAGTAGGGCGTTATTGAAAAGTTTTCTGAGAAAAAGCGTTTTCGAACTGGCTGTCGAGACAGTAAAAACTTACTACGAAGAATTCGTTCATGGATCCTAAGATAAACCTAACAAATATACGTAGTTGTATATAAGTAGGTATTTAATTACTTTTATAATTCTTAAGTAAATAGTTATGTACATAAGTTCAAATATATTTTTTTTTTTAGTTTGGGTCACTTTTGTTTTATTTTTTTAAGTTGGTTCCTTGTTTCCAAAATATTTTTTTTTTACCCTAGCTTTTGAAACGCACCTTCCATCTGCCTAGGAATGTCTTAGATATTCCACAAGTTTGTGCCATGTCATGTAAAAATACCCATCCTTTAATTTTTGCTCTTTATTTCCAGAGTTTTCAACAGAGGTATGAGATGTTTCGACGACTACACGGCTCGCTGCTTAACTAATAAAACACTCAACTTAATTAAAAATAACGTAGAGGGTGCTCGAAAATTCTTTATGCGCTTCTGCAGCGATCGCGAGTTTCAAAAGGGTAAGTGATTTGGTAATATTAGAATAAACAAAAGTAAAGGAAATAGAGCTTTCGCATAACCCGGTTCCCGCCGGTAAATTGGAAACCGGAGCAAGAGAAACTGCACTTAGAGTGCAAAAAAAAAACTACATATTTATATATGCAAATGCTATATGCCTTTCTTGCAAATGCCGAGTCGTTAATTAAAGTAAAAATGCACTATTTTCACTTTTTCGCATATATTAGATTGTGATAAATCTTGAAAGGGAAAATAAAAATACATAATTAAAAATAAGAAGTATATCGTCGGCTTAGAGTGCAAAGGTGGTAAGTCCACTTTGTCAAATATTCCAGGAGGGACAAAAATCGGTAAAATTTTATAAGCTCAAAATTAATAGAATTGCTTTTTATATGATGCTTCTAGAGCTCCTAACGGAGAACAAAAAATGGAGTAATCAAAGTTTATTTTTTCTAAACCTATCAATAGAACTTTTGGAAAAGCAAAAAAGGGGGAAAAAGATAGTCTTAAACAAAAGATCTGCAAATAAAAATTGAATACAAGTTACCACCAAAAGTTGTAAATGAAGTTAAAAAAGCATTAAAAGCTTTAATTTACACTTCTGAATTCAATTACGTACATATGTATTTACAAACACTTTAAAAATAAGTTACTCACACGAGATAGGCGCACGTTTCAAGTGAATGTGACATTTTGCACTTCGTAGGGCGAAACTCCTTAACGTATGCCTTACATACGAGCGCGATTGAATGAACCCTGCAGAAAAAATATCAACTGATAAAACATAACCAACTTGTAGTTAGCTTTTTTGCGGAATTTCGATAAATATCTAACTTTTAATTAGATATGACAAAATTAACTGTAAGTGAGTTGTAAACTCGTGCAGGAGCCCTGCAGACGTTACTGGGAGTTTCGTTTCTTTAAACAAGCTTCTATTTAAATACCCTCATAAAAGAATTACCTTGAATACACTTTTTTTCTGCACTTCGCAGATGCTTTCTTGAATTCAGGACAAATAAAATAAAGATCGAAATTTTATATATATAGCATATGTCTGATGGAATTCAAGTATGGGACCACCTACAAAAGAACACTTAAACAAATAAGCAAACATGTAATATAAGATAAAATAAATAAATAAAATTGTAAAAAATTAAAAGGCGAATATTTTTCATTTATATTTTGCGTCCAAAAGTAATTACCCATAAGTTAATTGACTTCTAATGCAGAGGAAATCAGTTCTCACTATTTTGCGGCCATCGCCATTCAAAAGTAGTTAGTTACGGCCGAAGGAAATAAGTAATAAAAAGGTACAACTAGTTGTCTGCTGGGTAGTTATAAGTTAGCTATAAACTAGCCCTGTTTCCTGCAGGGAACTTTGGAAAAACGTACATTGTACGAGTATGTACATATGTATGTATGCAACAGGGATGTTTCGAATATCATATACATATTTCACATTCGCGAATCCGAATACGAATTTTCGGAAAGCGAAAGTGTGAGTTGCGAATGTTTAGGAATACATAAGTCATTACTTTTATTGCTTACAAATTGTATAAATTACAACTGGAATATAAAAAATTACATTAGGGATATTCACGAACCAGTGCATACGGTTTAGCATGGTGCATAGATAGCATAAATAGCATGACTGTTGTTGTTTCGTGTGTTAAAACAACAACAAAATTAGCCAGGCGTGCTGTCTATGCACCATACTAGACAGTATATGCACCGGATCGTGAATACCCCTATTGTATTTACGCTAAAGTGGCACAAAACACGCCGAAACACGTAAACTTAATATTAGGTCGTAGATTATGGATCTGTATACCGATTTTCTTAAACAGGCCATATTCCCAAGATATTTAAACTTTGTGTTTACATTACGAATGAATAAGGGTGCGTTCATACAGAAAGCCGAACGGCGCCGAGCGAATCAAAGCAGAACAAAGCGAAGCTGCTGTTGTTCACAGTGAACGAAACGAAGCAGAGCTTTTCTCATTGACTCGGTGGAAAAGATACCACAGAACTTACCGTCAATGAGAAGCTGAAAAAATATTTCCTCAATTTTATTCAAAAGATTAATTACTGAATTTGTTTTTATTTGAATATTTTAATATCTTGTCAATATCAAAAACTGCATTGCTTTCATCCCCAAAACGCTTCTGAAAAAGCTTGACGTATAAACACTTTCATAGGTTTCACGTTTAAAGCTTCACTCAGCTTGGAACAACATCGCTCGGCTCGGCTTCTCTTTGTGTGTGAACGTACCCTAAAAATTCAAAAATGGAGTTCTCATACGGAATGGGACCAACCATACTTCTTACGGAAGTACAGTACTTCTTTTAGAGCCGTTGTACTTCGTATTTCGCAGTACAGTCAAATGAACTTCTTTGCAATATTGTGTACTACCTTTTAGGTTGAGACTTCTTTAACTGCTTCGAGAAATTTTAAAACGTAAAACAATTCCAGTTAATAAAGGTTCTCATAAAACACATACAGAGTACTTAGCTCAGCGGTTAGCGTTGCTGACTTCGAACATCGTTGGTGTGGGTTTTAAAATGCAATTCGAAAAGGAAATATTTAAAAAAAAAATAAAAAAAATAAAAAATATATGATTTTAAAAGCACCCCAATAGTAATGAAGAAAGCATCGTTGAATATAAATGAAATATTCGTATATATAATATCCTTACAACTATTTTTAAGAGAAAATTATTAATACGACAATTTTATATTGTTATTGCATAAAGCTTAACTAGTAATAATCCTCGAAAAGCGGGGTGTTCCATAGCAAGAAAATTTGCATCCTTTTCTCTACAGACAAATTATTTGACTTACGCAAGTACTCCATGAAATGTTATATTTGCAGTGCCCTTATTCTGGTCGTTAATTTTAACTTCTGTATTTTAGCAAGATCGTACTCTACTCAATACCACGTATGCCTATGAATAAAGCAATCCTGTTTTAGGAAAACACCAAGTTTTGCCAGCGTCAAGACCTATTTATTGTTATTCCGAATGCTACAATAATTTTGAATTGGCGACGTTTTAATACAAAATTAAATGGGCTGCAAATTAATAAGGGGTGGTAAAATTCGTTTCCGTTGCAATTCATCTGTTCATACTATTTTTGCTTTTCAGTTCCTTTACTTCCTTGAGCCATAGTTGGTCACATTACTCATACGCCATGTACGAGGATGTAGGAGAATGGCCCGGTGTGTGGCGTATGAGTAACATTATTTCCCGCTTCTATCTCATACCAAAAATTATTGCACATTTTCATTTCAACATTCAAAATTGCTTTGTTTATCCATCGATTTGATAACTGCCAACAGGGATGCGTGTTCCAATACGCGAAAATTTTGTATCTGTTGCCAGGAAGTATTTTGTCTTGTCCTCATTCATAGGTAGACTACTCTTTCACTTTGTTTTTTGGTTTTTTCTTTCGCGTGTCCCAATAGCGAAGAGTTTTTTTATATTGCAGGAAATACAACTTCTTTTGCATTGTGCTTTCCTTATATGTGATGTTATGGCGATTCAAATTTTCCGCACACGTTACGCTTTCCATTATCAGATAGAAGAAGTCGCACAAGAGTGAATTGCCCTGTCTATAACCTCGTTTAGATGGCTGGGGGAAGATCTTGGCGATTTTTATGGAGCCATAAGTCGTGCTTAATATTCTTCTACTTAATAATAATACGTTGGCGCTTACGCATATGTTAGTATTTGGCCGAGCTTCTCCTCCGATTAGTGGCGTGCGCCTTGATGTTGACACACAAAGGAAGGGACCTATCGTTTTACGCCGACTCCGAACGGCAATTGTATTTTTATGGGAAGCTGTTTTTCACAGAAGTAATACACTCGGAGGTTTGCCATTGCCTGCCGAGGGGCGACCGCTTCTTCGATGCTTCTGTATTATTGGTACGAGTACTTTGGTTTATGAAACATTATATATATATTATATATATTATATTGGTTCGTTGTCACAACCTTTCGACTATAATGTTAGGTGTATTTATATGAAGAATATTTTCACAAAAAGACGCGTGAAAAAATGAATGATATATACTTTTTTTTTTTAAGTTGTATTCTTTGTTTTTTTGTCCCAGAAAGTTAATCTTCAGAAAACTAAGGTCGATTTTGTAATTCTCTTCGGTGCAAGGATTATACCATTTTCTAAAAAAATGTATGCTCATTTTTATTCCCAGCCACGCTATGGCCACTCTAATGTACATATGCGCATTTTCCAAAAAAGGTAAACTGAAAATGCAAGTAAATGAATTCAAACGGCTTTATAAGTTTAAATTTCGAGATCAGATGGCCAAAAGAGGTATGAAAACGCGAAACGGTGGCCAGAGGAACTGAAAAAATTAAATAAATAATTAAATTTAGTATGTGTTACTAGTAAAAATATTGTATGGGGGAAAAATCTGTCACGTCCGATATGTCGCGTCGCGAATTGCTTCTGAATTAAAATAAATTCGTTGTAACGGTTCATAATTTGATTTTATTTAAAGAAGGTTTAATAAAGGAAAACCTTACAGGATTCGCTGAGCTTTGATTATTTTTACATTTATTCTGAAATCACTCCTGTTTTTATCGCGCCCGTTATGCCCTCCTTTTCATCGATTTTCTCGACGTCAGTGTTCCAAGCGCACATAATTTTTTTGTCAACCAAAGGACGGTATAAAAGCTACATAACGGCAAAGTGACTTCAGTTTTCGTATTATTTATTTAACTCTAAAGTCATACGAATGTCGCGTCCGTAACCCGGGATATGCCCATATGTATACTTGGATAAAAATGTACATTTAATAGTCGAAGTTATATGGAAAGAAGTTAATTGCAAAAACAAATATTTTTAAAGCAAGCTTTCTAAATACGAACGAAATCGGACCACAAACAATGGTTTACCAAATATACCGACTCGTGCACCACCTATCGGAAAAATTGGAGTGGAGTTTTTCATGTAGTTTATATACGTTCTAATTATGAACCAAATCGAATTATAAATACAGGGTTTTCAAATATATCGGGTCCTGCGCCCACTATCGGCTTAACTCAGCCAACTGTGAAGTTTCAAGCCTCTAGGTTATCGTGAAGTTAGTCAAAAATTGACTGCAAGATTTGCCCCTATTAAACATACATACATACAGAGCAAGCTAAATAAAAGCTTGTAAAATGGTTCATGCCCACTTGCTGACTTTATTCTAACATAAGTGGCAACATTCAAGTTCCCTAATCCAATTTTGTACGTATTTACAGATTATTTGCAACACAAAGACTGCTTCAGTTATATACAGGATGACTGGATGCGTTGTACGCACAATTTTCAGGAGATTCTCACTGAAGAGCTGCATGGCGAACAAACAAATGTTACCAACAAGTTCATGGAATTTTGCTGGTAAGTAGCGATACGAAAATTTCAGAGGCAAAAACATGGAGTTGTAGTAGGTGGCGAAAAGTCCAATTAAAAGTTCTTGCATGCACATGTGGAAATACGAGTACAGTTGATGTGCTTGGGAGATTAAGTTTTACACATATATGCATGTTAACCAAATGTGCGTGTGGGTGTACGTGCGATTGCTGTGCATGTTTTCAATTTTACAGTTTCGATCAACAATTATGACCAATCATTGCATTGTTTGATTTATTAAAAGCTTTTACATAGATCTTTAAGCCCTTAATTCACATACATACATAACTCGTTTGTCTCTTGCAGCGCCCGACATGCCTATGAAAATTGTATCTACAACAGTGCTCGCTACAAATGCTACAAGAACTCGGCCAAATTTGCACGTGATACTGCTAAAACTTTATCGGATGAAAAGCACTTTACCAACTGCCGTCAGTATGAGAATGCGCTTTGTAGTGTGGGCCATGCGACGTCCCTCTACGTTGGAGGCATGGATGCCACGCTCGACTGGATACAACTGTTGTTCGTGTGGCTACCCGCTGTGCTGTTGATAAGTGCGAACATTGGACGACGACAGGCATAAATAAATCAATGCCGAGTTTATTTTTTATTCTTCAGTAGCTACATGTGTGCTTGTTTGTGTGAAGAACAGTGGCCATTGTGTGACTGGAAAGGTTGAATGTATAGGGATGCTTTGTTGGGAGCTCGAATTGCCTTGGCTGGTTTATGGCTAAAAGAAATGTATGATGGCTTTTCATGGTTGTTGTCAGTGATGTCGTATAGCTTGTAAGAATAAATAAAGTACATACATTTGTATGTACCAGCTTATGTGTATACCCACTGCTCTCTCCACACGTTTTTATATATATGCACATACGCACATGCAAATTAAGTTAAACATGTTGTAACATTTTAATTCTGATCTCATTTTATTTATGCTTAATTTTTATAAGCGGTTAAGGTGTTTAGGATATTTAAAATTATGGACAATATTATCTGAATGGTAGAGTTGTTATGGTGCGTGCCCACCTCTAATTCAGTAACGCGGCATTAATAAACTATCACATTTCAATACTCTAACTAAATGCTTATATGGCATATCTCATGAGAATCAGTCGCCCCTGGGATTTGTATGTAGTATGAAAAATTCAGTTGGTCTGTAAGGTGCCACACCCCATTTATGTATCGCTATTATTTTGCTCTATAACCATCCTTTCAATGTCTGCAATTGATGCCCAAAATTTCAAGAAAAACCCTTCTAGAGCTTTAAATAAGTAATAATATTTTAGCGCTTATGCGTCTTGCTGCTATTACGCAAATGAAGGGAGAGTTTCCTAACGGCAAATGGATTTGATGAGTAACTTTTTCATGGCAGAAATATGCTCGGTGGTTTGCCATTTCCTGCCGAGGGGCAAGCGAAGTAAGAAAACAACTTCTTCTAATTTAGATGTTGTCAGGAACAGGAGTCGAAAAGAGGTCCTACGAAGTGGCAGTACGCACCAACCAAAGGCAACCTTTGAATTGCATCTTTGACAGATAAGTAGATACCTATCTTATCACCTCTTGAAAAATTCTAGCAATATATGGCCACGCCGATTTGATTTTAAGTTTTTTGTGTTACTGGTCTTGGAACATAGAATAATAACACAAGTTTACAAGAAATCATACCTGTGGCATTCTTCTGTTAAATATTTACGTAAAATTGTCTCCCCAACCCGAATATGAAGTCAAAATATGAAAAAGTATAATAGTTTTCTAGATATAAGCGAATTTCCGGTTTTTTGAAATCTGATTATGTCTCCGTAGAAAGTTTCAAACGAATGTATGTATTAGTTTATTTAAGCTTATTTAGTGAACTAAATTAAGAACGAAGCAAAAACCAATATTTAAATCGATACCTACCTAGTTTGCTTATAATGTAACATTACAAAATATGTATCATATTCAGCTATGTCGCAGAATCCGACTCGGAATTCATTATATATTCGAATCAGCAGTTAGCACTTTAAGTCTTTTTTCTTTCACGATAGTTTGTAAAAAAGAATGAAAGTTTGTACCAATTAACGATCTCGAGGTAAAGTTACACCGTTTTATTTTTAAGAGCTTTAAAGTTAAAATCAGCAAAACAAAACAATTTAAATAAAGCTTGAGTAAACTGGTGTAGTAGTAAGCAGTGCGCGTTACCATTCCACAGGGCTTGGGTTCAAGCCCGGTTCAACCCAACGTAAAAAAAAAAAATAAAAAAATGTTTTTTTTTCTAAAAGCGGTTGGCAGCGGGAAATCTCCGAGTGCATTCTGACCTGCCAGCTGAGAGTTTTCACAGCAATCCCCTGGAACTGCTCTTGGAGAGTCTAGAGACTTTTTCCATTGCTCAAATTAAAGATCTTGAATATCACTACAACCTACTTTGTGTTCGATTGATATAAAATTGTGACAAGCATGCACAGCTGGAAGAAAATCTTAAAAAATTTAAGAAATTAATTTTTTCAATTGAGAGGATTAAATTTTTTTTCGTTTTTTCAACAGTGAAATCGTGTTTTCGTATCAAAATCTATATGCTTTGTACAATAAAATATAAAATTGTTTTGTTTTTATCCGGCGGTTTTTGTATGTTGTTTTTTACGAAAAACACTATTTTTGACAATTTTTTTTTTGAGTTCTGGGGGTAATTATTGCTCAATGGCAACATTTTGCCGTGAAAAGGAATTACATTAGCTCTAAAGAGCATTGAATGTATGATATCAAAGTGTTCGTTCAATCGAAAGAGCTACCATTAATTGCGTAGAGTATTCAAAAAGTAGACCGTGCGCCATCCACAGTATTTTTTTGTCGTGTTGAATTCCTTTCTGCGTCGTTGACGGCCGTCGCCTGCGCTTCAAAAAAATATCCCCTATTAGTCTACGCTGACCACAGTATTTTTGCGCAGAACTCACCTAGAAATTTACAAAAAAAGTCCATATTTCAAACCGAATTTATTAATAAATTAGTGCTCAGAAATCTTGGTTTTGAATTAAAGTTTCATATTTTGGCTACACATGTGTGTTCAAATTTTTCGATTCAGGTCACACGCCTGGAAATTATTGCATTTACAAGTAAATAATCGGACCGTACCGTTTCGAACTATATTTTTAATTTTTTTTCCTACATTCCTACATACATTCAAATAAACGATTCCAATGAGTACAAACGTTAGCCTTTACCTCACCGTTTCGATTCCGATAATAAAACCCACAAACTCGGATTCTGCGACACTTATGGCCGGCAAGAATTTGGATCGAATATAAGAATAATATCGGATTGTGCGACACCTAGCGAAGAAGTTGTCGAAATCAAATTCCATACCAAGAAAATCGGATTCCCTGACATAGCTGATTAATCCACATTACATAAAAAGTACTTTTTGA